AAGCTATCGCTTTTCCCGGGCCGTATAAAGCCGTAATACAAATTGCCTATACGTGGAAAGCCCGTATTACGCATTTACTTTGCTTTATGGCCATTTTTTAAAGCATTTGGAATTAAAAATTTGTGCGCGTTTGGATCCGGCCCGTCGGCCGAATCCTTTGCGGCTTTAGCTTTTGTAATTACGATAAAACCTGGCTTTTTTACCCCCGATTTTTAACCTTAATGTTCGGTAGCAAAGGTAAGTGCTTAAAGCTTTTTCGGTTAAAAAAGCCCTAGCGCATTAACAATTCCTTTTCGGGTTGCAAACGGGTTTTCCGTTTCGTTGTATTTAACTAACAAATTGTAAATAATTACGTTAATTGGGTCCTTTTTTTGCTTGCCTTTAAAAAAGCTTTTTTTATTAAATTTAACGTTTTTTGTAATTATTACTTTTTTTTTTAACGGGACCCAAATCCGGTAAATGTTAAAAGCTTAGTAACTTATTAAATATCCAACCCCGGCACGAAAATTAATTTTAAAATGCTTAAAATTCGCGTTGTAGGACCTTTTTACGTTTAAAAGATAAACTTTGCACCCGTAAGCGTAAATGCCGTCCTAATCCGGTTTTAAATTGGTTGTTAAACCCGTAAAAAGCTTCGGAGCGTAATGCCGGAACCACCCCCGAAATTAGCTTAAAAGGATGTCGTTGGAAGCGCGCATGCTTTTTAACGGTAAAAGGCTTATATTTTTTAGCCAAACGGCAGCGTAAACCGCTTCCGGCCATAAATGCTTAAAAAGTTTTGCGCTTTTGCGCATGCGTATCCCTTTCGTAATAACGTTTTATTCCGTGCGCTTAATTATCCCGTTAGGCTCGTAAGTATATAACGGTAAGGTTTTAATAACGATGCTTTTAATTTAAACTTATTTTTCGTACTCCAAAAACCCTTTTACAAATATAATGGACTTTTTTTGGTCGTATTTAAAGGTAGCAATAAGCAGTTCGTACTGTTTTTTTACCTACGCTTTTTATTTTTTTAGGATTTTGGTAACCGTTGGTCCCTTTTTATTTAGGAATGTAAAGTTTTAAATTTTACCGCTGTATTTGTTTATTAACAATAAAACCCAATTTATCCTTAATTTTAACTTAGGGTAATTAAATAGGTTAAACCAAACCTTCCAAAAAGGGCGCATGGCCTTTTTTATAAAGCGCTTGAAAACGATGGCTATGGTATAAATTATTGCGTATGCTTTGCATTCGATCCGTTTGGGTCCTTTAATTTTAACGTTCCGGGCGTTTTAAACGAAAACTTCCAGCGTTTGTAATCCTAAATAACCATTGCGCAAGTGCTAAAGGTCGGCGGTATTTTTTCGCGGTTTCGTAAAGTCCGAAAATGGACGCTACGTATGCGTAGCACGTTTGCGGCGTAAAAATTCTTTAATTGCAAAGGTTAAAACCGTATCCTTTGGGAAAAATTGCAACGTGGTTAATACAAAGTAAATAACAATAAGCTTGTATTTATAAAACATTACGTTATTTTTGCGCTAAAAACGTTTAATTACTTTCCCGTTGGTAATTTTTTTAATGCGCAAAGTCGCGTTTTTCCCGTAAAACCATACCCTTTTAGCGTTTAAACGGGCTTTCGAAATAATATTAATATAAAAGCCTTTTACTAAAGCGACGTTGTAAAGCTTAAGGTTTTCGCTTCCGTTTAAAAAGCCAAAAAGCGTATAAATGCCACGTCCTAAAATTGGAAGGTATTAAATGCCGCATTAAACCGTTTTGGTACCGTTTAACGATTGGAACGATTTTTCGTCGAAGCGCTTTTTATCGTTAACGATATAAAACGAACCGCAATTATCGAATAGCGTGCTTTCGAAATAAATATTTTTTATAATGTCGAAGGCCGAAAAAACGCTTTAAAGCAAAAGCACTTTAAGCACGGCCGCGTTTAAATCCTACTTTTTTTTTAAAGTTCGGGGACCGGAGCTTAACGCGCTTTCGGCTTGTTTTCCCCAAACGGAATTTTTAAACTTGCTTTTAAAAAGGAAGGACTTTTTAAATAATTTCCAACGGTTTTTTTCCAAAAACTTTTTAATTTTTTTGCATTTTTCGTTGCTTAATTTATTGCAAAAGCGTTTGGAATTGCCGGTAAGCACGTAAACGAATTTCCAATAATCCTTTGGCTTTTAAAAATGGTTTTAAATGCAAGCCGGGCATTTGTACGTTATTGCGTTATTTCGTTAAATGCTTTTAACTTTTTCGTTTTTATTTCCAAATGCGCCCCCGAAAATCGGGAACGCGAGCTTTTTTTTGGTACCCAAATTATTAATGCGGTGCTAAAAAAAGATCGTTAAAAATTTGGTAACCAAAGTATTTATTTTTCCGGTAAAATTGCCCGTAGCTATTTTTTAACGGTAGCGCTTTGCCCAAAAAGGGTCGAAACGTTTTATGTGCTTAAAAAAGTTAAACATAAGCGTAAGGCTTTGTACTTTAAGGACGTTTTTAATTTTGGCTTAAATAAAAATCGCTTGGAATTTTAAAAATTATTGGTTAATATTTATGGTATTAGCGGCCTTTTTAAACGTATTGCGGTATTTTTAAAAAATTATTTAAATTTCCATTATGGAAATAGAAACGTGGAGCGCTTTTAAACAAATAATGGTATTACGGAAAGTAACGTAATTATTGGCTTAAGCTTTTAATTGCGCGTTTGCAAGCGCGATAAGGTTTACGAAAAAATTAATCCATTTAAAAAAGGTTGTAATCTTTTTCGAAGCGGTTTTGCTCGCGGTATCCTTTGCTTTAAACGCTTTTTTATGCTTGGCTTTAAAATTACCTTTGGTAAAAACCGAAAGGGTTTGGAAAGGTTCGGGATTAAATCTTTGCGTGGCCTTGCTTTTGCTTTGCCAAGCCTTTAAACGAACTTCCTTTTTTTCGGTCGAAAGGATCGTTTGCCAGGCCAAGCGTTTAAATTTATGGTTTTTAACGTGCTCGGCCCGGGCTTTTGCTACGAAAAAGTTAAAATCCAAGGTTTCGTTGGCTTGCACGTTATTCGGGAACTTTAAATTAAGGTTAATTTAATTCCAAATCCTTAAAATTAATGCGTTTTAACGAAGCGCCGTGGATTACGTAAACCATTGCTTTTAATTTTTAAGCAGCGCTATTACGAAAAGATCGTTATTCGTACTACCTATAATTGGTAGCAATCGAAAATTCGTAAAAATAAAGCGGTAAAGGACAAAGGGTTGAAAGCTTTAAAAGCGTAAAAACGTAAAAGTTAAAAAAGTAAAACTTAATAAAGGTTTTCGGCAACGTTCGGGATTAACAACGGAATTTGCTTCGGCAAAAAAAACTTTGTCGAAGGAGGTTTTGAAAGCGTAGGAATTTTTCCGTAAAAAAATCGCGGAAAGGAAAAGGAGGATAAACGCGCTTGGAGGAGCGCGTTTGGGAACGATTTGATAAAGGTAATAAAAGGGGAATAAATTCGTGCTGTTAAGCCTTTTACTTTACGTTAAAGGGTTTAAAAGTCGCCGGGCTTATAACTGTTGCAGGCAAAAGGGATAGGCACGGTATAAAGCTATTCCGGTTAATTTGCTTTAAAGAAAAAAGGATTTGAAGTGCAGGGTCCCGTAGGGGCCTTTGCCCTTTATATACACGTAACTCCCTGTCCTCCTTGCTTATTAAGCTTCCTTCCTAACGCTTGGAAGCGTTATACGCTTCCAGGCAGGGGGACCGCTCTTCCGATGCCTTAAGCATTTGATATTTATGCCTAAAGCTTCCTCATAACAGTATATACTGTTTACTTTGTAACAGTAATTAAATTAAAATGTTGTTATTTAAGTTTAAAGAAAAAGGAATTTTGCTGGAAAAAAGGGACGGATTTAACCTTTTTATATAAGTACAAAGGAGCTTTGGATGGTCGGTGCACAAATCCCGGATTTATGCATGGCGGTCCTCCAGAGCCTGTGCATGCGCTTAATAAGTAAGTTCCAACACCAAGCTTATTAATTGTTAAGGGTTAATCGGTGCAAAGGCGGGTAGTTACCGGGTTACGGGCCGGATGCGGTATTTCCTTTATTAAACCTCCCTAAATCTTTTACCAAAGGTGCTATTGCCAATAAAAATTGTTCCTTTTTTAACCTCCCCTTTTTTCGTGCCTTTCCGGGCACGCGGGGTCGGTTTTATAAATTTTTCGCGCTTTATGCGCTTTCGTGCAATTTAAGCTTTATTTTATCTTTTAATTTTGCCGTTATGCTTTAGCCGCGATACCGGTAATTTGCCGGTATATTTCCGAAAAAATTTGTACCTAGCTAGCTGCTAGCGCTTTTTCCTTTTTTTTTGCCGGGCGGTTTTGTTTATGCATTTAACGCTTTCCGTTTTTTGCCGGGCGGTTTTGCCCGTGCTTTTAATATATTGCCCTTTTCCGATACGGTTTGTTCCAAGCCGCGTATGCCGCACGGGGGTATTCCGTAAGTAACCGGTAGTTAGCGGTATCCCGCTAAACCGCCCCAATGCCCGGCAACGTTTAAAAAAACCGGCTATAAAGCTTTGTAACATCCGGAAAAGTAGGTTCGTACCGGTATATAAAAAGCTTTTTTTCCCGTTCGAAACCGCAAGCCCTTTTTTTTTCCTTTTTGTGCATTTAATAACCATTTTAAAAATTTCGATAACCGTAACCGTAAGTAATTAGTATTTAGCCGTTCTTTTTAAATATTTGGATTTAACCGGTAATTGCAAATGTTATCCTTTATACCCAATTACGTAAAAAAAGTATTGTTTTTTCGGGTATTTGCTTCGGATTTTTCGGTTTAAACCAATTCGTTAGCCCCCGTTGGTTCCCCGGTTTTAGCTAGCCCGTTAGCCTTTTTTAATTTTTCGGCCCTTTATAACCAGTTTAGCATTTCGGTTTGTTAAGCCTTTTTTGGCCTTTCGTTTTTTTATGCCCCAGCCCCGCGCTTTGCTAATGGCCCCCCGGTATTTTTTCCGGTTATTGTAATGCCGTTAAATTCGGATTCGTTTAAATTTCCAGTCCTTTAAATTCTTTATAATTGTTTTGCCGGTAATTTTCCGGTGGGCTTTTTAAATACCGCGGGTTTATCGAACCCTTTTGCGCTTGCAACCTTTTAAGCTTTTTACAAGCGTGTTGCCGATAACCCCCCGGCGGGCTTTAACCGCCGCGGCAAAAAAACCGCCGCCGAAAAAAAGCGTAAAGCGCGCAACGAGCGCCGCCGCGGCGCCTTTAATTTTTATGGATTTACCCCCGAAACGAACATTGCCTTTTCCTTGCTTTATATGGGTATCCGCAACGCGCTTTCGTTGCAAAGGGTTTTTAATTTCCAATAAAATAATAAATATAACCTTATTTGCTTGCCCTTTTTTAAAAACAATTATACGGAGCGTGCGGTGTTTTGTAGCCGTTATTTTGGTCGTTAAGCATATTAAAACTATGCCGTTAATTCCTATATACCGATATGCTTTAATAACATTACGGAATCTTTTAAATGCATTTATTGCAAGGATATGGTTAGCAATAAAGCTTGTATCGAACTTTTCGAATGGTTTTGGGAAATGGCCTAAAACTTTAATAAAATTTTAAACGTTATTTACGAACAATTTCCCAAAGCAATACCGAAACTTTTCGAAAAGCTTACCAAAATTTAATTTCGCGCCCGCAAAGCTATCCAAAAAGCCAAGTTTTTCCATACCATATCGGCCGAATAGCTTGCGCGCTACAAGCGTTAAACCGTTATTTAAAAGCGCATTAAACGCAAAATTGCCCGCATTGCAACATTAAAAATTACCCAAAACATTTTCCAATAATTTTGCGCTATTACCGTTTAAACGAAAAGGCAAATTTAAGCTTTGGCTGGCATTAATAACTTTTTTAACAAAATAAAAGCGTTTTTTAAACGTTTCGAAAAAGGTATGGTTGCTTTTTTTGGTGGCATTGCCGTTAATTTTGCCACAATTGCGGCGCATTCGGATATTTAAGCTTATAATTGCGCGGCTTCCCGTAAAAGTGCGGCGTTCGTATTGGCGCCGGAAAGTGCCGCTTTCGGCGCTAACGATTTTAACGGCAACGAAAAAAACGTAATTTCCGAAAATTTTGGTTCCTTTAAATACGGCATTTAATCGATTTTTTTTACATATTTTTTTAATTAATTACTAATATTCCCTTTTCGAAAAATGGTTAATTTTAAAAAATTTTCGTTAATTTATTATAATTAAAACCATAATTTCCTTTCGTTATATTGCTTTTGCAGCATTGCGAAATTTTAATATTTTTAATTACTAATTAAGTTTTAATGCCCCAATAAATAATTTTAAAATGCTTTTTTTTTGCCCCCCAATGGGTTTAAATACCGCTAATATGCATTTGCCGTTACCCAAACGCTTAAGCCCGTTCGCTATACTATCCGGAAATTTTCCCATTTCTTTTTTAAGCAAGCAATAATATTTTTTACTATAACGTACGTTTAAAATGCGGTAATTGCTTTGGCGTATTGCGTTAAGCATGCTTTTTACGGGCTTTTCAAAATGTATTACACTTTGCATATTTTTCGGGATTTAAATGTATTGCATTATTAATTTGGGGCGTTCCCCGTATTATACCGTTTTTATTTAACTTTTTGTTTATAAAGCACGATATTTTACGGTTATTACAAACCGTTTACAAGTTTTTTTACGTTTTTCCCCGGTAGCCAGCCGGTTTAACACGTTTAAAACATTTTTTTAGGCCATTTTTTAGCCTTTATCATTCCATTTTTGTAATACCCCCGTCCTTTCCGGGTATTTACCCGTTAAAATCCGGTATTTTTTTTATCCTATAAACTTGCTTCCAATAAGCTTGCTTTATACGTTTAAACAATTTTTTTTGTAATATTCCTTTTAAAAATTTACGAATTTTCCGATTTATTGTAATTTATTTATTTAACCAAGTATTTTCGTTTTCGCAAAAGCCCTTTGTATTTTAGCAAAGCCTTTATTTCGAAGCAATCCTTTTTTTTTCGATTTTTGGTTTTTTATTTTTTGGTTTTTTGCCGGGCCTTTTTTTAAACGCTTGTAATAAATTTGCCGGGAATACGTTATATATCCGGTAATTTACCGAAAGCTTTAACCGGAACGCCAAACCGGCTAACCCAACCATTTTAAAACTTAAAAGGGTTTTAACCATTT